GGGAGCACTTCGGGCATTGTCCATGGCATTTGTGTTAGCTAGGGCAGCTGGTGATGGTAGAGGAGCTAATGTAGTGATTATCTATGTAATAGTAGTGGTAGGAGGGATATGGAGTACTGAGCATTATGTGAGTAGATACCTGTTCAACCATGGCAGTTTGGACAGCAGGAGGATATTTTATCGATAGGATACAAGAGTAGTATTATTGCTAGTGGTGGAGATGCATGAATTTACCATGCTCACAGGCTCACAGCTGTTGCAGTCGGTACAGGACACAGTACAGAGGTTGGAGACACAGCACCCTGGGGTTAAGGTTACCCTTAAAATGGGTAACCCAACTGATAGGATGCATGTACAGGACGAGTTGCTGTCCACGGCTGAGAGAAATGGCAGTGAGTTTTTGGGGTCCGGTAGTTGTAGAGAAATTAATTTTTGTCGGCTGGTTGGATAACTGTTGTAGTAAGGGGTTGGTAGATAAAGCTCTCGATGAGGGGGAAGGGTTATGAGTATTCACATCGCGAGTTGGCTATGAATTGATGGTGTAGCGGTATTATGTATAAACTTAATGATCCCAACCTCACGCGATTGTGATATCGGCACGCTCCCTGCTAGTGAGGTTGAAGGAATCGTCGTAGAGCTCGGTCACGGGTTGCAACTGTGTAGCAATAGGGCGTGGGAGCATATATTAGGACCTATAAGCACACGACAGAGTCTTCTCATATGTCAGTAATACTCAAGCCTGCAAGCCCTCCCACTTCACCAACTCTCAATGGGAATCCGCTATCACCATCACAATCCCCACCGATCCTTGTAGTGGGAGGTGGCCATAACTCGGATTGTGGAGAGCTGGGTTCGGTCACCAGTCAGTTCGTGGACAAAGGTAGGCGGCGGCCACTTGTAAGCAAAATAATGAGCATTCCTCTATACAGGTCGAAAGAGGTCCCTACAGGGTGTGACGGTAGCTGTGGCTAAGCTAGGATTGGACCCTGGGGGATCGATCCCTACTCAGCTGCATCCATCTGCACCTGTGTTCTCTCGTTTTTCCAGAACGTGACACGAGTACGGTTCGCCGTCGTCGATTACTTTTTATCATTTACCCCTCGCGATAGTTGTAGCTTTTTCCAAGACTTTATGTTATACCCAGAATGAGCACGGTCATTATTTCACAGTCTTCTAATCCTCCGTCCTGTTGTTCTTAGTACCTCGTCCCTCCCTATGGAGATTCTGTCCTCATCAAATTCTTTTTGTATGCTGAGTATCATTGCTATGAAAGTAGTGGTAGTTCTGAGTCTTATGACTGGAACAGTAGTTATAGTAGTAGTCCGTCTCGCAATTGGCCCTCTGGGGCATGTTGCGTAGTAGTAGTAGTAGTAGTAGTAGTAGTAGTAGTAGTAGTAGTAGTAGTAGTAGTAGTAGTAGTAGTAGTAGTAATAGCAGTATTAGTAGTAGTAGTAGTAGTAGTAGGCTGTCACTCCTTGAACAGTCTTTGTACTATTCCGCGGCTCCTTTGACCCTCCCTCTACGAAGCTTGCCGCCGTCTTGTGATGGACAACGCTGTGTTACCCCTTCCCACCAGAGAGGGTCTGACACGGCTCAAAGTGGTAGAGTTGAAAGAGGAGATGAAAGCGATCGGCCTTAAGAGTAGTGGTCTTCGGAAGCAGGAACTCATCGACCGTCTACTGCAATATTACGGTGATGCGGCACACACTGAGTCAACTACGGGGAGTGCCTCTAGCGGTAGCTCGGGCCTGTCCAAGCGAGAGGAGCCAGTGGCAGTGGCAGAGGCTCAAGGGGGTGGGGATGATGGCTGGGATGAGAGGGAGGTGCTGGAGGCGATGAGGATGTCTTTGGTGGATAGTCGTCCACATGAGATCCACTCTGTGTCCAGTACAGTTGACGTGGTAGAGCTACAGGACTCCTCACAAGGCTCGCCCATTAGTGGTTACGTGGATGACCCTCCCCCTGATTCGGGAGAGCCTTCCCCTGAAACGGGAGAGTCTTCCTCTGAGTCAAGTGGGCCTTCCCCTGAGTCGAGTGGGCCTTCCCCTGAGTCGAGTGGGCCTTCCCCAGAGTCGAGTGGGCCTTCCCCAGAGTGGAGTGGGCCTTCCCCAGAGTCGAGTGGGCCTTCTCCTGGTTTGGATGACCCTTCCTTCGATTCCAGTGGGCATTCTTCTAATTTGGATGGGTCCATCGCTGACGTGCAAGAGCCTGCAGCCAAGAAAGTGAGCTGAGGGTAACTGAGGTGAGGATAGTTGAGGTTTACATTAGGCCAAGACTGCCGTGAAAATATGTCCTATATTCATACAAGCCCTGGGGGTCAGGCATCATCAACAACAGCAGGATCTTACAGTGGGAAGTAGTATGGTAGAGTGCCCCTTATGTGAGGACAAGGGCGTTTACGTTGTGCATGGTACGGGGCAAGAACAGGCCTGTCGGATGTGCAGGAAGGAGGTGAGGGGGAGCTGTAGTGATCGTAGTCGATAGTTGTCAGTAGGAGATCGCGGAGGAAGAGGCTGAGTCGTCCACTGTGATGGTAGCGAATATTAAAATAGAGGAGGGGGTTGCTCAACCCGAGAAGCCACGAGAGCGACTCGATTTAACGGACTTCTCACGAGATCATTTGGGCGAGTTGGCATGCCTCGTGCGTGACAAGGGGTGAGTGGAGAAATCGTGCAGGTTCGATCCCTGGTGCGGGCATATTTTACAGGTTCGATATAGTTGAGGCGGCTGAGGCCATGCGGAAGAATGACTATGTGCTCTACAATGCGACAAAAGCTCTGACTGCAGCCAAGGAGCTCGCGGAAGAGAATCTCGCCAGGAATCAGGTAATGACAAGAACGCATGATAACGGTAGACTAGCTCGATACAGGCCGCGGAGGAATCCCTGGCCACCAGGGATGTTGAGAAAAAGAGACGATCCAAGTCGGAGAAGGATGCCTTTCTGGAGGGGGGTATTGAGTTCTTGGACATGTCCCAGGCTTTAGCAGGTGCTAAGGGACCAAGAATATCAGCAATCTCGAGGGGAGATGATTTCGATACCACTCCTTTGCCAACTCGTGGTCGTATTTGAGTTGTCGCTAGGTCCCGATCTTTGGGAGCATCTGGAAGCCGTGGTAGACTTCCTCCTTGACAACCGCATGGCGAGGCTCGCTCTGTTCATGTATCTCCAAGAGAGGAAGAGGGCTATTGCCTGGTGATGCTCATTAGTACTAGGTCATCGGCTCCCACCGTTGATGGTGTTCAGGTACAAGGTCCCCGCCAAGACCTACTTCGTAGCCAACATGCCTATAGTATCTTCTATTGGTGATTTCCTTACCTCTATCACTGAGGAAACCAACAAAATAAAGGAGGCTATGTATGATTTACCAAAATGCGGCGGAGCGACGCCTGCACTTTTCCGCCAATTTGAGGATGCACCGTCAAGGATTGAAGATGTTGCTGTGGTGGAGACGGATGCTGACTCGTGTAATATGTCACTAGTTGAATTAGATGTTGAAAATGATGATGATTAGCACCGATCAGTTTTATCATTGCTTTTACCCCTACTGTTGAGCTCAATAGAGGAGGAGGAAGGGTTGGACTGACTTGTCATTGCTCAGCTTTTTTTATATGAATGCTATTATGGAGGGCTCGGGCTTTCAAATAAGAGGGTCAGGAAAGGTATTAGTAGGAAGGGGCATGCTGGTAACAGCTGATGCAATGCGGCACATACTGTCGTCCTCGTCTCCACCACAACGGCTCGAGGGTCTTTATATGCCTTCTGGGTCCAAGTGTGTGGTATTCACTATCGATCTCTATCGGTCTGGAGGTATGAGGGATATGTGATGAAAATGGCCCGTTGTTGCTGGCGAGCTTCAATCGACCGCTGGGTGAGGATAAGGACCTTATCATAAGGTGGCAGGGGTCTACGTTGAAGTGATCTGTCTATCAATGGCACCGTCGACGTTTTGCACAAGGCAGAGCGAGAGCCGAGAACATAGGCCATGTCCTTCCTTGTACAGTCGTGATACTCAACACGGATAGGTAGTGTTGACGCACGTGTGGTACTCTATGTGTGCAGGCCCGGCTCTACCCCTTCTCAGGATGGAGATCGGTGCCACAGTGCGCTGTAGTGGCCTATGTAACTCACTAACGGTGGAGCATGTATAATTGTTTCGTACTTGAGTGTGTTGTGGTAAGAGTCGAGGTAGACGTGTACAGGTCTTCCCTTTGTATTTTCTATGCGCCCTCCTCCTCCTTTATCATATCTGCGTCGCTCCGCCGCCCTACCAGGGCTAACTCTACTCTTCATGGGGTGCTACCTGTTGTATTCATCAGTCGCCTTCACAGCGAGTCTCTTTATTGCCCCGCTGTCGTCATCATCACTTGGCCACATGACGGCCAGTGGGGTGGTTCCCTATGCTAGCGTGCCTGCTAGTAGCGTTAGTGATGGAGGTATAATCTCATTCTCTCTAGCTCAGCGTGCCCTACAGCTCCTTGCTATCAGTGGTGCGGTGGGGGCTGCGAGTCGGGTTATGGGTCGAATACGAATGAGGGCGAGTGAGGGGTCGAATGCCCCAGCAGAATCACCCTCGGGATTGCACGTGTCGAACCTGCATACCGTCTTGAGTGAGGACCCCGAGATGCCTATCCTCAATGGGGTCACCCTCGACCTCGAACCGGGTGAGGTAGTAGCCCTTCTAGGCCCTAATGGGTGCGGCAAGAGTAGCTTCGCTCGAACCCTGATGGGCGACTCGCAATATGTGGTTACTCATGGTGGAGTTGAAATGAATAGGGAGGATGTGTTGTCCCTGGATGTCGATGAGCGTGCCTCCAAGCTTGGTTTGTTCATGTCGTGGCAGGCCCCTGTTGAGGTGCCTGGTTTGACTAACTTCACCTTATTGCATGCAGCAATGAATGCAACCAGGCAGGCCAAGAATCTACCACAATTATCGCCCTTTGAGTTTTATGACTTCGCCAAGTCTCGGCTGATGGAGGTCGAACGAGGGGAAGAGCTGTTGGAGTATCTGGACAGACCTGTTAATACAGGAATGTCGGGTGGTGAACGGAAACGTGTAGAGCTCCTACATGCAGTAGTGCTACGACCTAGACTGTGCATCTTTGATGAGATCGATAGTGGCCTCGACGTAGATGCTCTAAGACAGGTAGTGAGGGAAGGGGCACTGTTGCTGACATTTTCACTTGAGTGAATAGTACGACGCTATTAAGTTCGAGTCTCGAGGGAGGGCTCATTAGCATCATGGTAACTCATTAATGTCTGGAAAGTCGATAAGACAACCACAGTGTATCATATCTTGTTAACGGACGGTTCATGGCGTTGATAGTAGTTCCTATTTCAGGTAGCTACCACCCTCCGGTCCTTACGTGAGGTGGATCCGTCCATAACGATGCTGATAGTATCCCACTACAAGCGAATGCTGGATGAGCTACACCCCACTAGGGTGTTGGTAATGCAGGATGGTGTAATAGTACATCAAGGCGGCCCTGACCTCATCAATGTGGTGGATAGAGGAGGCTTCAAGGGGGGATGGTTGCAGCAACAAGAAGATGATGATGACCCCGTAAGTATCTAGTGTATTTTGCAGTGAATATTTTCTGTCGTTGTCTCCGATCTTGTGTTTCCGATGCAATAAATTGGACTCGCGATTAGCTGTAATACTCCCGTCTGAGTTTGGTGCATTAGTTTCTACTGTATGTATGATATCGGCATCCTCTATACCGAGTAGCTGTAATACTAATAATGTAATAATGATCTAATAATGTAATATGTAGCTATATAGAGTAGCTGTAATATTGCTAGTCGTGCTTAATGGTATAGCCTCTACCGTATTTACAACACTGACACTAGTAGCTGTCGTATTGCCGTTTACGTGGGGTGTTATAGTTTCGATTATATTTATCAATGTTGCCCAAACAGCTGACCACTAAGGGGGCCAAGAGGCGCAAGATGGATATTCCCAAGAAGATAGGGTTCCGCGGTCGATGGTTTCATGGCAAGGAGCTCGATGATCCAGTCTTTAAGACCCATAAAATACCCCATATATTGATACCAAGTAGTACCCGGGATCAACTCGTAGTCTTATGGTTTAATATCCACCTACAGAGACTATCACGGATTGGCGAAATGGAGGTAGGGCATTGCTATGTATAGCTATGGCTCAACTGGAAGGTATTAAGATAAGGACGAGGGGAGCTGCCATAAGATGGTAGTAATACTCTTCTGCTGGGGTCGTCATCATGTTGTGTTGTGCTAGGCAGCACGACCCGAAGAAAGGCTGCCAGGATGGTCGGTGCGGTAGTGCCTGCTCACAAGACTACAATAGATGCATGTGTGCATGGAGGGTCGAGGGGACTAAGCATCAACATTTCTCTCGTATGGATGGGGTAATGGGTGTTGATACTGCTACTGTGGCGAGCAGCAATGGTGTAGGTATTGATGAAATATAAAGGGGATGTACCAGTACACCACCTAGTGCCGATATGGGGGCCTATGAATGCTGTAGGGCTCAGGAACAGGCGGAATAGTTTACCGTATAGGTGAGCAGTCTCCGGGGTCTCACGTGTTGTAAGCCTGTTAGAGTCCAACCGGACGGGTCTCTGATTCCATGTCCGATATCGGCATCATTGGCCCCTCATGCGGCGTTCAACGAGTCCAAGGACTTCCGCTATGAAGAGTACTTCAAGGGGAAGGGACAGAATAGTAAACAGGATGAGCATCCTAGGAGAGGCAAGAAGGAATGGACGGGGTAATACTACTGAGCAAGGTATTATGACCATTTGAGTAGAAGTTGGTTTGATCCCTGGGCTTGGTCATTACTCTATTATGGTAGGAGCATGACCACCGCTGTTTGTTATGGAATTGATATTACTGATGAATTTACTATGTGATGTGATATTAGGTTTGACAGCGACTCCGATGCAGAGCATGATCCCATCAGGATGTCAGCTGAGGACAGTGATGAAGATGATGAGGACGAGCTACCATCGCAGGGAAGGGAACATGGTGAACTGTATGCACAGAGAAGCATGAACAATGGTCATTACCTCAGGAGTGAGTGAAGAACGTCGTCTCTATTTAACAGTGCATAACCTTTGACGCATGTGTGGCAAGTTTCTGCTCTCCTACACGGGGTTGCGTTTCTGTCCCGTCTAGACTGTATGCTCTTTATCCGGGAATAAAGGATCTGGCCAATGGTGAGGTCATCACGTTATAGTTAGGGTCATGTGGTAAGCACATTACCTAAGGCTCCAAGTGCACTGAGACGACAGCTCAGGCGCATACCATCTCACAGCCTCTTCGTCAGTATCAACCTGCCATACTTTTCTCTGATTCGATACGAGGGATAGATACGTAAGTCTTTGTAAGCCTTGTCTATGTTTCCAGCAATACTCATGTTTGTATAGTCTCGCTCGCCTTTGGTGGTCCCTCTTATTATGCAGTACATTTGAATCAGTCGAACCTTCAGCAAGTGACTGTCTGGTATTCACGGTGGCCTGGGTTACCTCTACCGATATCATTGCTATTTTCAACGGTGATGCACCCGAGCAATGGCAGGAATACTCGGTGCAAGGACCGATCTACACCTTTTAAACATCTAGTTCGTCTTTGGAACCATCAATTTCGTCGGGTCGCACGAAGTTGGAGGTACGAATCCGAAACGGGCAGATCATATTCGCAATTAGAACTTTCAACTTCGTCATAGAACTTTCAAGTTCGTCCGAAGTCGATAGGAAGTTCAAGTTCGTTCTAATAGAACTTTCAATTTCGACTCTCGAACCTTCGAGTTCGTCATAGAACTTTCAACTTCGTCGAGTACACCTTTGGAACTTCAATTTCGTCCCCTTAGGAAAATCGACTTCGTCGTTCGGAACTTCAATTTCGTGTTACCGGGGCAATTATGCCAGTACTCTCATGGTGAGGCTCGTGTTTTGCTGACCGTGTCACTCGTCCGTGGGCATCATGCGGGCATGCTATTGGGTTGTTGAGTAAAGCAATCAACCACCAATACATGCCTGCCGGTGGTTGACTATGTCGTTTTCTTGATCGAGCCAGTCATATGAGTGGCTGCCAGCTACAGGCTGGCCGCACTATTCATGTGACATGACAATGTCACATGAATGAGAAGTCACAT